TGTGGTTCAAGGTTTGGGATGGGAGGTATTTAGATATGGTGGTGAAATGTTTGAAGAGGAGTTTGGAAATTCAAGATACTTGAGGGAATCCTATTAATAAAATAAGTTTCAAAGATGACGGCCTCGCCCCAAAAAGATCAAGAGGCATGAACGACTTCAAGTAAATGTCGGTTCTTTCTCTCAGCCACCCCATTTTGTTGGGGAGTATATGGACACGAGTGTTGATGTATGATGCCATGATCCTGTAAGAATTTGTTGAGATCTTGATTAAGAAATTATTCGTCATTGTCGAAACGGAGAACCTAGATGCATGAAACTGAGTCTCCACCATTTTATGGAACTGTTGAAACTTTAAACTGACTTCCCCTTTCGTTTTGAGAAGGGAACCCAAGTCATTCAAGTGCAGTCATCAATGAAAGTGACAAATTAGCGAGCTCTAACCTGAGTAGCTATTTTAACAGGCCTCCAAACATCAGAATGAATAAGTAAGAAGGGAGCCAAACTTTTATGTGGACTTAATGAGAATGGAACACGATGGCTCTTAGCGAATTCGCATGTACCACACTTGAAGTTGGAAACATCAAAACTGTAAAATAATGATGGAAACAACTTCTTCAGATAACCGAATGAGGCATGCCCAAGACGTTTATACCATAACCAAACTTTGTATCTCTGCCTCTCAGAACTAAGTTCACTTGTTGTGAAAGCTTGACCAACCTTGGTCTCACTATTTGGTGCCCATCCAAGTAGTAGAGTTTGCCTTGCCTAGTACCACAAACAATCGTCTTCCTAGTGAGGATGTCTTGGAAAACACAATGATTCGGCCAAAATGTTATAGTACACCCCAAAGTAGTAGTAAGTTGTACAACAGACAATAAGTTATGGTCCAAAGATGGAACAACCAATACAGAATCAAGATTGATGAAGTTAGAGAGAGATAGAGAGCCTTCCCCAACCACAGAGAAGAAGTACCATTAGCATTAGACACCACTGACTGCGTGGATGGTTTGCGAGTAATAAGTTGTCTAGGATCAAATGTCATGTGATCTGTAGCATCCGAGTCAATAATCTATGCTTGGTTTGGAGAGGACGTATAGAAAGCAGAACCTTTAGTGGTGGCTATAGAAGCACGAGCCCGTGTAGCCTATTTAGTAGGATTGACCGCATGCTTTTGTGAGTCTACAAGGAGGGAGAGAATCGTAAGAGGGCCTGACATCACAGCAGAAGGAAGATTGGATATGAGTGTGTGTTTGTGGTTAATGAGTTGATTTGAGAATTTGAGGAATTTGATTTGAGAGGTATGCGTTTAAGGAGTTTGATAAGAAGATTTGATTTGAGAGGTAAGGAATTTGATTTAGGGTTTGGGTTTGAATTTGAGGATATGATTTGAGAGCTTAGAGACAATCTAGAATCGATTGCTTTGATACCATGCTAAAATATGAATATGGTTTGAATATTTTAGGTTAATTGTATTTTTCTTCATAAGAAGGTATACATAGGGGTTTATAAGGGTGCTTTACAAGGAAATAGATACAGTAATTAATTAGGAGAATATCTCATAATTATACAAGGATGTGTCAACTATATGAAACAAGGAAGTAAATCACCTAATTAGCTTAGGAAATAAATCTCCTTGCAATTGTTCCAGGTACATGAACCGTGAAAAGGTACTTACGAGGGATCTTAGAAAGGTGAAGCTTTTTACTGATTTTGAAGGTCACAGTTCCATACAGCTATACAAAAGTGTACGCAACACTCCCTGAACCAGTAGCTTTAGCCTAGAATCACTAGTCCTTGTCTCAGTTTGTGTTTTTATGTCTCAGAATATGGACGTTTAGTTGAGGGAGAGCGATTCAGACAGAGGGAAAGAAAAGTGGAAGACAGGAAAAACAATTCCCCCGAATACTGCTGCTGAATTAGTACAATCCGAACCAACAACGAATGACACGAAAATTAGTATTACGATCTTCATTTGCTTTAATGTAAGGCCTTAAATGTGTAATTTCATACTTGTAGACACTGAAACAGCAAATGATCGAGGCTTAGGTTGAGCATTTGAAGCATAAATATTAACCAAGATGACAGTATTCAGCTATTCAAATTAGTGGTTAGCCGTTGGAATTGCTTTGAAACAAGTTGCGCCAGTTGTTGGCTAAAGATTTATTATATGAAACACATACACAACATACATAACATGCTTTGTTTCTGGTTCAAATTGATGTTAATTGTAAGTGTCTCCTACTAATTTGGAGGGTTGGTCTGGTATATTGTTCTCTACCATTGCTTTTATTTCTGCTAGCTCTACTTACTGTCTATGGAGAAACACTACATGCCTAGCTACATTTGCATGTTTCACTAGGCTTTTTAAACAACTATATAAAGTAAAATGCTTATAGAATTCTTGAGAACAAAGGCATGTACTATGTACAATAATTTGCGCCAAAGAAATTCGTGGAACTGTGTTAGATTCCAAATTTGCAGGCACTTTACTTGGCTTTCAACCAGAATCTTGTTACAAAAGAAACTGAACAAATAATTGCTTGAATTAAGAAGCTAGAGTTCAGTTCTCGTCCTTCCTCTCCCTATTTAGAAAAATATCTTGTATACGGCCATTGTATCAAATTGTTTTTCAAGCCAAAGGTAGGCCTCCTTTGTGCAAAAAGAGCTCAAGGGGACATCAAACTTTGTTGTACAATTGTTCTGAAACTACCTGAGAGAATATTATGTGAAGGGAATGTTGAGGGTCACAAATCTAAAGGACTCTATATGCTCTTTAAAAATTATAAAATACTTGCACCTCCAAACAATTTAACTATTAACCTTAGTTTATTTAACAACCTAAAAAACCAAGTTGCAGATTGCATATCAAAAGGCAAGGCAACCTGAATTTCTTAAAACCACGATATTGATTGCAGAAATGGGGAAGATTTGGTGATTTTACTTATGAGAGCATAATGGTAGTGTAAGTCCGACCATGGTAGGCATAATCTGTACTTATGAGAGCTTTAATGGACAGAAACAAATACTTTATACATTTATTATAGTGATTCACAAACTAGATACAACTTGTTTGAATAAAATAACACTATAATACACTAACAAATCTTAGGCATTTCCAGCTGGGTTTACAGTTAATGTTTGACATCAGATATCTGACTCAATGTTCTCGTGTTTTCTGCGAATGAAAGCAGCAGCTTTGTCATCAATGCCGGGCTCAGCTACCCCCCGAATGCTGTCCTCCACACTATGCAACACCCTTCCTACGCTCTTATATGAATCCTCCACCAGAAGGGCGGGTATGGCAAACATGTCATCTCCCCTGCGAGGCCTCCTCGACTTGAACAAGCTGAAGAATGAGAAGGAGGAGGATGTTTTCTGCCTGTTGTTGCCTCCCATAACTCTTTTCTGACACAAAGATATTAAACGGAGGCTTAAAGAGATTTTGAGATGAAGAAAGTTCGAAGGTTACTCTCTTTGGTTTTTAGTGGCAATAAGGGAGCTGTTGTGTATTTATAGTAGGGTGGAGAACCTTGGAGGATTCAGAAAGCCAAGGAAGTAATGGGTGGTTGAGATCACAAATAAGACCAGAGAAGAAGAAAAAAAAAGGAGCATATTTCCTATGGTCCTCTGCTTTCTCTATTGACCAAAACAGACTTGAAGACAATATTGGCACTGTTATTTTTCTCAAGTAGTGCCATGGACCTTGAATTGAAATTTACACAAAGATCTTTTAAATTGTAATAGTCAAAAAGTTTGTCTTTTTCTTCAGAAAATAGCTTTGGTTCATGCATGGGTAGGTACTTGTAGAGTTTTTTTTTTAATTTTTAAAAGAAGGGTTTCCTTGTTCCAGAAAAAGAAAGAAAAAAAGGATTCTTCCGGGAAGGCCTCAGCTTAATCATCACAGCTTTAAAAAAAAAAAGAATGGTTTCCTTGTTCCAGAAAAAGAAATAAAAAAAGGATTCTTCCGGGAAGGCCTCAGCTTAATCATCACAGCTTTAAAAAAAAAAAGAATGGTTTCCTTGTTCCAAAAAAAGAAAGAAAAAAAGGATTCTTCTTGGAAGGCCTCAGCTAATCATCACAGCTTTAGATGGTGTGCGTTGATCAGAAAGTCAGGTTTCCTTTTTAGGCAACATTGCATGCAAGCTGTCTAGCTTTAAGCTATCTGAAATTTTACTTTACTAATGAAAGCCAGAGTTTGGCATCCCCCCAACTTTTATTCCATATTTTTAAGTCACTAAAACAATATGGTTTCTTGCTAGCTGTTAATCACATTGGTTAACTAAAGTTCATACAATATTAAATTCTTTAGGAGCAAAGCATCAGATTCTTGAGTTTTTTTCATGATTGTTGAAAGGGATTTTGGACCGATCTGAAGAAACAACTCACTTTTGTCTATTGGTTGTTCTGCTCGGGCTTAAATTTGAATTTTTGAACTCCTTATTTTGATTTCGATTACGAATTAGTAAACATGACATAAATAAAATCTTTTCCAGAAATTGGGTCAGAAGCCTATGGAAGTTACTGAAAATACCCATTAACCTATTGTTGTCTAAATATGGGTGATGTGTGAGTTTTTTCGGTAATGTTAGTTATATTTGTTGCTAGCTTGGTAGTATCTGGGTAAAGGTAGAATTACGAAATGGTATTGATATCTTTGAAATCTTTGATCGTTATGCTCTTATTTTGACCCATAATTCCTTTTAGTTGTTTGTTGCTATGATTTGTCTTACTACTGAGCCAATAAAATCTGGGATTAGAGACCCAAAATTAGGAGTTGCAAAACAAGAGGAAGAATATTATTTTACAGCGAAATAAAATTATCTCAACCTAAAAATTCATAAAACACAAAGAAAACAACAAAATTGAGAACAAAAACATTGATTCATTCGAAAGGCACCTTTGATTTTCTTTTCTTTTTTTCTAACAAAAAGAACTGTAATTAGGCCAAACAGGGATGACGAACAATTTGTTTCCAAATTAAAAATGGTTGGCAATCTATCTAATCATGGTTGAACTGAATTACCATTAACATACAAGGTTTTGTGCAGAAAGCCTAACAAGGGCAAGGGCGATCAAATGCAAACACAAAGTACAAAGAATTCTGCATCACAAAACAAGATAGAGTGTCAGTAATACCAGTGAACGTATATCCACTTAAAATTAAGATTGTCAATACATATCTTGCTACTCATAAATGACATCCAACTATAGAAAAGCAGTAAATCTAAATAGCTCAACCTCCGTCACATTAAAGATACACTGTAGCCAAAGTATCTGCATTTGCTAGATTGGTCGTCATTTCCCCCTGGAATTTGGAAAAGATATTGTTAGAGAGAGAGAGAGAGAGAGAGACACACACACACACACACACAGAGTTTCAATTGACTTACGTGTTCATCATCAGAGTTATGTTATCTCCTTTCAGAAGAATGCGTCCTGAAAAAATTAAAACAAAACAGAAAACATTTAGAGATTGCACAAGCATAGGTTAGCAAAAGAGCGAAAGGGGAGGAGACTCACCCAATGACTTTCTGGTATTTTTCTTGATGCTAACTTCTTCAGCCTCATCCAGAACCAAATTCATATACTCATCAAAACCCTAAAAACACAGATGACCACCAAAGAATTTAATACACTGGTCAGATATATCTACATATAATATATGCTGACTTAAATAATGGGAATATATTGAGATAGAGAAAGAGACGGAGAAAGTACGCATATATGATAATGCAAATTACATCATTGCTATGTCAGCTTCTCATTTATGACAAACGTTTGTTGAAGAAATGGAAGACTATAAAATATGCAACTAGCTCAAATGTGAAATATGGAGATAATCAAGCAGAGCAAAATATCCTCAACCAGTTAGAAAATTAGGAATAGTAAGGTTCAAGCCATCACATACAAGGCACCACAAAAGGAAAGGTAAAATTGTGTTTGTAAGTACATTGAGAGAACAAGTCACACAATATATAAATGTAAAATTCAAACTTCCAGGATATCCTGCTGTTTACATTGTTTCTTACTTTTTCCACTTTTCTTCCTATTTCCCCATCTTCATCAATGACTAACATCTTCATCAAGCCACATAAAGGTGAACTTCTAGCACATTCATAACATTTAGACCCACATGCTGAAGGCATGTATGATTAGTTTTGTCTATTTGGAGCAATTGAAATTCTAAAGGGCATAATCCAAGTTCAATCTTATGTATTACGTGCAACCACTTGTAAAAAAAATGTGGTTTAAAATGAAGTGTTAGTAGAGATTCTAGAGAATGGCAATAGGGAAGAAGGAAAAGTTTGAAAACCCAATACGAAATCAAGGCTTTGAAATGTATTCCCTGTACTCCCTGTACTAAAGGCTCTTATGATTTAGACCCAGCCGGTTTGTAGACTATAATTTGAACCTGGACATAGTTACAAAATTGGAACTAAATCTTTGATGTTTCAACAAAAGTCCCTTTCAAAAAAGCACTCCATACTCTTATTATGCATAGTCCTGCCAAAGTCTTTACCAGAACAGCGTAGAAGCATGTCTCAGCAAGGGAAGCATGTTTTACCAACTGACCGATACTAACTGTTCGAAAACTAATAATCTCCCAGATCAGAAGCTTCCACATTTTTCTTTTGCATATCTTCTACTTTATTTGGCAAACTAGTTTTCATCTCAAATACGATAATCATTCATAGCAGATGGTCATACTTCCGCACCCTCATTACACAAAATACAAATTCCTCCAAGAAAAACCCTGCAATATTCTTAAGACCTACAAAATAATGCAGTACTAATTCTACATATATAGATGTTTACCCAAGTTATTTTAAATGCATGATTAAGTCATTCCACAATGCACCTCCAGTTATGTCTATAAAATCAATAAGAACCCCAAATCTTATTCAACAGAACAAAAGCTAAAAGCCTAAAACTACATGTTATCCAAAACTGTGTAATCTCTACAACAAATAATATATAGTAGAACGTTCATATCTTATTTGAGCTCTTTAGCTAGAGTGGTGAGTGTATAGCAAAAAATAAAGCTCCAGAGACTCCCTATCCTCCTCCCTGTTTTAGAAAAAAACTTTTTGTCTTCTTACATGTAGAGAATGAAAGTGATAAGTAGTGAGCTCTCTATTTATTACTTTATACTTTTACAAGCGCGCTTGAGTTTGTACCAAAAGTAAATTGTTAGGTTTTGAGTTTGACTCTTCCCAAAAATCCTCAGGTTTACAGGTAAAATCCAACCAACAATAGAATACTTAAATTGACCACTAATTTTATGACAGTTAACACTGACTTTTAAGCTTAATCATATGGGGAAAAAATACATTTGATTCCCAATATGGGCAGATCAATTAGAGAAGATAAATTATTATCAATACGAAGAAGAAACAGAGACAAAGAACTCAATTTATGCAAGCATCTAGCAACACGAACAAAATAACACTAAAACCCTAGTGGAGCCTAATAACAATTTAGTTTGAAAATAAAAAACAAAACAAACTTACAATAATTCGGCCTTCAATCCTGAGGTCCTTTTGCTCAAAGAGCCAAATCTGAATGCGAGCTTTCTGTATAAAAAAAAATTCCAAAAAATAAAATAAAATTTCAAACCCCAACAAGAAAACCACCCGGGATGCGAGCTTTCCGAAACAAACCCAGATGACAAAATCAATCAAATAGAGTGACAAGGATGACTTACACTTTGAAGGAACCTGAAAATCAAGTTCTGCAGCAAAAACCCCGAAAGAAAAAAGAAGGAAATTTGTCAGTGAATCATTTTTAAAAAAGGGGGCAAAAATGTTAAACAAACAGAGATGAGGACGATGGAGAAAGAAACGTACAATGGGTTGGGTCATAATCCTCTGAACTTTGGTGCTCGCCATGGCTGCGAAATTCAAAGGGTTTTGGGGTAACAGAAAGAGGTTTTAGTCGAAGAGACTTTGAAGAAACCCTAGCGACCTCAGGTCTTTCTTTTTGCTATAATACGAACGAAAATTCTGTGGTACAGAGAAGAGACGCAGAGGAGAGCGGGAGAGGGAGAGAGAGAAGAATACGCAGAATGTTTGGGAGGGAGAAGAGTATAGACGCAGAGAATGAGAGAGAGAGAGAGAGAGGGGAGGAGTTGGCGGCGCAATCGAATCATTTGGCTGTATGGGTACAGTCACTTTTTGAACCGTTAGATTTAAACAATTTTGATCCAAAGGTACATAATAAGTTAATAAAAACACCCAAAAAATACCCTTTATCAATTGACTGTGGTGAAGATGGGGAAGAGACTCAGGGGGCTGTGGGTCTTCGAGGCTACAAGAGGGTGGGCTTTGTGCAGCAGGGGTGGGTTCGGTCCGAATCGACTCTATTCTCACTTAAAACGGGAACTAAAATTGGCACTCTTCATCCTATCTAGTTTGGTTCGATTCTTGATTAATGGCTCGTTTGGGAGTGATTTTGGATAGGCCTTAAAATATCTAATCATTTAATTCTTGTTTTATTTTTATTTTTTAGCCTTCATTGTCTAACAAGCCTAGGCCCAAATTCAAACAAACAAACTCAAATCTCTAGTTTTTAAGTTACGACCCAACAATGAATCAAATACATAATAACCAAATTTCAGAAAAATAATACATTCAACATAAACATCACAGGATCCCCCACTCTCACTTTGCAAAGCTTGGAAAAATGCTTCATTCCGCTTCATGTGCACACTGGAATTCAAAGCAACCATACTTAAAAAACAATCATATTCATGTGTATACTTGTTGACAATAAAATGAAACAAGAAACATACTCTTGTTGTAAAGCAGAATGGGTGAAGCCCACATAGTCAAAAGGTGAATAGTGATGATTGGGTAGAAACATAATTAAGTCTCTTCTTTTATTCACGGGAGGCCATTGTAATTGCCTATAAATAGGCTTCCTCTTCAGTTGCAAAATACACTAACGGAGAAGAGAAGAGAAGAAAGAGAAAGAGAGAGGAAAGAAGAGAGAGTGAGAACTCTGAGTGTCTGTGAGTTTTATTTGAGAGAAAATTCTATCAGTGTAAACACCACAGAGCAAATACAATTCACTCCCAATATTAAGTGGTAATTCCCATACTCTGATTATTTTATTTTATAACAACTCTCAAGTTTTCATATTATAATACATTGGATAGATTATATATATAAAGGAAAAAAACAACATACATAAACATATATCTTCAACATAGCAACATATATATTGTGGGAACCAAATTAAATCAAAACCCTTAGGTCAAATATTTCCTTCCATTAGGGGATTATTTGACCTAATTGGGAGTTACTTAATTTAATTGGGAGTCACCCAATCAAATTGGGAGTTACCTAATTAAATTGGGATTGATTTGATTCCTACCATAATTAGGGATTTGATAAATCAAATCCCTAATTAAGCCAATCTCACCAAATCAGGGAAGAATAATTCCTTTCCATATGCGGAATTATTCTTCTGAAACCCTACCCTCCGAGGCTCCTATAAATAGATGGCTATGCACAAGGGTTGAGATACGTCTAAATTCCTACTGAAACTCTGTAGAGATTCTCAGAAACCCTAGCCGCCATACTTTCTCTCCCTTTTTCAAAAGGCTCCGGTCACTACTCACGGCTCTGGACACCCGGTTTACACCTTGCATATATATCTCTGTACCCTATTTAGCTAGTGTTTTCTTACAAAACACTTTAACTAACTTAGGCATCGGGGGGCCTTTGGCCAACACCCTCGGGTGTTGTCCTCTTATTCGATTTGTTTTGCAGGGAGAAAGAGGGGGCGAAGAAGAAAAGGGGATCTTTTAATCGAATATTCTTGTGGGACGAAAAGCGCTCCCACAAATTGGTGCTTTCATTGAGAGCGCGAAATAATACTCAAAGCGTGCTCCAAATCCATTTTCCAATCCACTAAAGCCTTTCAAACAACCATGGTTGGAAGCAAACGCCTTAGGAGCAAAACCACCGTGACGGTACTCCGGAACGGCCGAAACCTCGCTGCAACTGCGAGGTACAGCTGCTGCCAGCTTTTTGCAGCAACCTCCCATGGCTGCCAACGCTTCCCAGCAGATCCCTAGCGAGTTCCAACAGCCCTCGGTGGCTGCCCATGTCATCCAACCACCTCCGGAGGCCTCACAACCTCTCCAAACAACTGTTGTAGCAACTGAACAGCCACTAAACCGTCGGGACCGCTCCCTACAGCCGCAAATCAC